TGTGTGTTCTAAAAATAAAGTTCGTTTCTTTTGTCAAGTGGCTCCTGAATTGTGCCCAGCCAGACTGTGGCAGTACCCCAAATCACATGAGACATAGATACCCAAAACATTATTTGTTGTGTATCTGAAATTTGAATTGAGCCGGACAGTGTGTACCTTAGCTGGCCACTTTCAAGGAGGGGGATGGGGAAAAACTCATCCCAAATAGTAGGTGTCATCTGAGATGCGCTGGGGACTCGTGTTTCTTCCCTAGGGACAGAAATTTGGCCTGCTTTGGAGGAAAAAACTCCCTATTTGCCAGAGGGCAGCAGGATTGGGCAAATGTCCCAACTCTGATAACAAGGAGTGGGAAGGAAGCGCTCCATGACCACAGACCTTCCCCTTGGGCACCAAAATGAATGAAGTTGGTAAAATGTCAGGAGGTCGGTGACTCACTGTCAAATGGTTCATCATCCCCGCCCCCACACACACGCACTCTGATACACACATACAGAAAAATGCCACAATTGCTGGGACTTCATTATACACTTCTTCTTTCACGTTTTTGCTGAGTTTGGATTTTTTTTTTTTTTTAATGTTGGGGATGGAACCCAGGGTCTCTTACAGGCTAGGTGATCACTCTGCCCCTGAGCAACACATTCAGGTCCTGATTTTTTTTTTCTTTCATGAGAAAAAGAAAGGGCTCCTCCCTAGCACTGCAGAAAAACAAAACCAAAATTCGGGGTTAAAAAAAAAATGAAAGAGCTGGGCGTCGTGGTGCATGCCTGTAATCCCAGCCACTTGGGAGGCTGAGGCTGGAGGATCACAAGATCAAGCCCAGCCTCTGCAACTTAGTGAGGCCCTGTGTCCACATAAAAAATAAAAAGGGCTGGGGATGTAGCTTAATGGTAGAGGGGTTCTAGGTTCAATTCCCAGCACCAAAAAAATAAAATAAAAATGAAAGTACCTCTCATTGCAGAAAAGGAGCAAGTTCCAAAATACCCACTATTGGGCTCTCCTTGCAAAGCTTGAATCGGCTCCCTCTCCGGAGTTCTCACATCCTGCAAGGCTCCGGGTGGGGCTGAGGTCTATCCGATCCTTCAGAGGGCTCTACTCCACCCACCTGTCACACTGGGAATGACTCAGCCTCCCTGAACTGAACTGGCTGTCCTTTCTCCTGACAGCCTCCGGGCTTTATGTCTGTGCTGGACCCTGTGCCTGCAAACCCTGCTTTTGGGACGGTGGCCACCATCCTCTTACATGCCTGGGGATATTTTTAAAGACACTTCCTCCAGACGCATTCTCTGACTCCTGGATTTCAGTGAGGTTTCTATTGCATTTCCACTTGGGGGCCTCCCTTTGTCCTCCAGAACGTTCCTGCAATTTGTCATTTTGTATTCATCTGAGTCTTTGTTTCACATCTGCTTTCTCCACTTCACCCTTGCTTCCGGGGTGCGATGGGAGTGGGAATGGACACCACTTTCTGTACCCCTAATTTCTAGGACACGGATTGGCACACGGGGCTGTTCACTCCCCCAGGGAGAAGGGACAAATCACTAAGCAAATGCTGCAGTTCTGGTGGTGGTGCCTCCTCCAGGAAGCCCTCCCAGACCAGTGTCTCGCCTTACCTCCTTAGATCATCCTTGAAGGGCAGGAAGAGCCACTTCTTGGGCATGTCCTTGAGGAACAGCTCCTGCTGCTCTTCTGTGGGATCCTGCGACACGTACACCAGGGCCAACTGGGCCGCCCGCAGCACATAGAACTCATCTGTGAGCCTCACAAAGAAGTCCTTGAGGATGGGCACGAAGGCCTGACACTTGGGACAAGCCGCGGCGCCAAAGAACAGCAGCACCAGACGGTTCTCCAGCCTGCGGCTGACCTCGGCCTCGGTGTCCAGCTCATCCTGGTCGCTGTTATTGCGGATCAGGACGCGGCCAGAGAACAGGGAGACCATGGTAGCCTCAACTGGGTGCTGGGGACAGGGAGAGAGATCCCCAGGTGGTGTGGCCTGGACCTGCTGTCTGGTTCCTCTCCCAGGAATAGAGATCTCTAGGAAGCCAGTTTAGGACCTCGCTAATCTGCTCAATCTTGACCTAGTTCTGCAGGGCCTCCAAGGGCAGGGGTTGGTGCGGGGAGAGCGCCCTCGTGTGCCTGAAAACACGTTGCAGAAAATCTAAACTGGGGTCTGGGGGTGTAGCTCAGCTGTAGAGCACTTATCCAGCATTCCCTGCTCCAAATTGAGAGAGACGGACTGAGAAAATAAGAAAGAGAAGAGAAAACACCGGAGAGAAGACAGCCCAGTGAAGACCAAGGCAGAGCCTGGAGTGATGCGGCCACAAACCAAGGAACCCTGGGAACCACCAACAGCTGGCAGCCAGAAGAGCTCCTCCCTGAAGCCTCCAGAGGGCGCTCTGCTTCCATGACTTCAGACCTCTAGAGCTGCCAGATATAATAGGTTTCTGTTGCCCCTAGGCAAAGGTACTTTTGTTACAGCAGCTGTTGTACACTCATACCTACTATGGCGTTTATTTCAGGGAAATTGTTCACTTCTACAGGGTGCTCATGTTCTACTTACAATGCAGTCCCCGTGCCTTGGTCTTCTTGTATTTTATTTCAATACTGGTTATTTTCTCTTGTTCTTTTGGAAAGTGCAAGAAACTTCTTTGCTGTTGCAGTACACCCAGCAGAGGGCCCACTGCCAGCCACTGCCACGTGCAGTGACTGGGTAATCAATGCACTTGATGCCCAGCTCCCATTAACATCTACCTAGCAACCAAGGTGCAGAGGGGAGAGGTATCCTGCCCAGGGTCATCAGTTGAAGAGGGGCAGAGACTGGTTCAGTTCCAAAGCCTGAGTTCTACCCTCCTGTCAGGGAATATATCTTCAATCCCTTATGCAAAATCCTTGGGGGTAATAAACCTTGGCACTGGGAATGTTTCCTCTTTCTTTCTTTCTTTCTTTCTTTTTTTTAATTTTGAGGCAGGGTCTTGCTAAGTTGTCCAGACAGGACTTGAACTCATGATCCTCCTGCCTCAGCCTCCCGAATAACTGGAACTATTATAATTTTGCAACCATGGAGCCAGATAAAACTTTTTGGGTTTTGGCAGGGGGAATGGAGCCCAGGGACCCGTGCATGCTAGGCAAGTGCTCTGTCACTGAGTTGTACCCCCAGCCCTGGGATTGGGGGTTTTTGTATTCCAGGAAGATAACTGGGGGAATGCTTCCTGTACTGCAGGGTGTCCCTGGGGGCCTGGGCATTCTGTAAGTGAAGGCATAAATGAGGATAAAAAAGAATAATTGACCATGGGGAAGAGCCTGGCTCAGTGCAGCAGAGATGGCCCCCTACTGGAGGGTTGAGACCACGCTTAGGAAAAAAGTGGGTTTCCAAAGCCAAAGAGGATGGGGGATGCTGTGGGAAGAACTGGATGAGGTCATGAGTGTAGGGTGCTTAGTCAGGGCTTAGTTTACCTGGTAAAATGGAGGGGTCACAAGAGGGGAGGTGGAAAGAGGAAGAGGGGGAGGGGAAGGGAAGAGGAAGGGACGAGGGAGGAAGTGGGTAAGAGAAGAGGGAATTAGGGTAAAGGGAACTAGGGAAGAAAGAGAAGGAAGGATAAGTTCCAGTAGGTGGTAATGAGGAGGAGGTAAAAAGGGAGGAATAGGAGGGGAGGAGAGACAGCTCGCTCCCAACCCATATTTGCAATCTCAGCACCAAGCCAGTGCGGCCAGCTCTGCTTCAGCGCTCACTTTCTTTACCTGTAAAGTGGGTGTGATTGCAATAATCATTCTGGCAGGGCAGGAGTGAGGCTGCAGAGACAGGTCATTGCTGATCCCTGGCTGGAAAAAGTAGTGCAGGCCAGTGGCTGGCTCTGGGCCTGTGCTCCGGATCTGCTTCCTCGCCCCCCATTCCTCCCACCGTGGGCTGCTGGCAGAAACCAATGGCAGCTGGAGTGGGGGTGGGGTGAGTGCCTGCCCAGCCCTGTCCTCAAAGTGGTGCTGGAAGAAGGCCCTGGCCACCTCCCAAAGACATCGCTGGGAAGGTCGGCCAAGCAGGGCAGAAAACAAGCAGGGGTGGAGTGGGCAGGGGGGCACAGAGGGGGAACTTGATGGGAGGGCCCCAAGGCAGAGGCACACATGGACACAGCGCAGTGAGACAAGCCAGGAGTTGGCCAGAAACAGAAGTCCCTGAAGGGACCCACCATCTGGAGCTAGAGGACCCCTGCCTCGGCCTCACAGTCTCTGCCGGCTTCCTGCCTGAGCTTCTGGAAGCCCAAGAAGGAGCGGCCAAGTCCGGGGGTCTGCAAGTGGCTTCAGGTCAGCCAGGGAATAGAGTTGTGGACATCAGGTCAGTGCCTCCCCACGCCTGGTCAGAAAAAGGGCTTTGGAGCCTCTAGGTAAGCATTTAGGACTCTGGGGTGCAAACAAGACCTAGTTGGAGCTCCTGGGAGTATGATTAGGAAGGATGAGAACCTGGTGGTGGATATTGTCCTCCCCAGGCTCCAGGGGTGTGACACTGAGATTTAACTGACAAGGCTTTGGAGTGTGGATTTAGGGTTAGCTGGGTCCTTGATCCACTTTTGAAACTGAGGCGGGTTTCGACTTGGAAACTTCTGCGCCCCAGGGTGTTAGTTTAGCAATCCTCGGGTCCCTAGAATGCGTGTTTAGTATCGAAGAAGCTTTAGGACTTGGACTTGGGGTATGGGGTAAGACTCCAGCGTAGGAGGCCCGGGTGTGAGCTGGGAGTTTCTGGTCCCCGGGCACAACCTTGAATGGCATCTAGGGCTCGGCTGGGCGCGCCCGAGAGCCACGCCCCTGCCTGCCGGACCCACGTGCTTTCTAAGCCCGCGGCCGAATGGGAGGGGCGAAGCCTGGTTGCCATGGAGACAGAGGCACGCCTCGGCGAGCCGTTCTAGCAGCGCTGGTCTCGTTGGCCTCTGGCTCTCTAGCTCGGGGGATCTCTCTCTATGGTCGTGGCCTCCGGAAGGGGCCAGCCTCCGCTATGCGGGATGAGGGGCTAAAACCCGGACAGGTGGGAAGAAGGGTGTGGGGCGGGGCTTAGGTGCTAAGTGGGCAGGAGTGAGGCGCCTTTCTAGAGTGGTGACTAAGACAAGGCCTGAGGGTGGGGCCGGTGGCCAGATCAGAACCTGGGCCTGGGAACGCAGGCCAGGTCAGAAGCTGGGGGCGCGGCTCGAGCTGACCAGGAGGGCCGGGGTCTGGAGCGTGTGCTTAGGGGCCGGAGCACAGGCCTAACTCGGGGTGGAGCCTGGCTTAGAGAGGGCGGGGCTCCGCCTGAGACTTGCGCTTATGGGCGGAGCTGGAGGCTTAACCTGGGGCCGGGGGCCGGAGCGCGGTGAAAAAGTGGTTAGAGGCGGGACCTGGAGGAAAACCCAGGGCAGGATGGGGGACAGAGGATAGGGGTAGGTCATGGCCTGGGGACAGGACCTGGACGAATGGCTAGGAAGGGACTAGGTCTGTGGTCGGGAACAAAGCGGAGCCAGGCTTTGAGGGCTAAATCTTGGGGATGGAGCGTGGGTTTAAGGTCTTGCCTCAAAGTCAAGGCATGGGGCGGGGCCTAACAAGGACTGACGCTATGGAAATATTGGGCCTGGGGGAGGGTCCCGATACAATGATTGGCAGGGAGGCGGAGCCCCGTCCTGGGGGTGGTACCTACCAGGGACGTAGCCAACCACAGGCTTGAAGGCGGGGCCTGACTTGTGAACGCGTTCCCGTTAGACCCGAGGAGGGGGCGGGACTTGGCTCGGAGTTCCAGGCTGGGCTGACCGTGGGCGGAGCCACGATCTGGGGTGGGGCATGGCGGCAGGAGGCGGGGCCCCAGCGGCCAGCCCCCTCAGCGCTCTCTGCTTCCTAGGATGCGGGCTCCGGGTGCAGGCACGGCCTCCCTGGCCTCGCTGGCGCTACTGTGGCTGCTGGGGCTACCATGGACCTGGAGCGCAGCGGCGGCGTTCGGTGTGTACGTGGGCGGCGGCGGCTGGCGCTTCCTGCGCATCGTCTGCAAGACGGCGAGGCGGGACCTCTTGTGAGTGTGGTCTGGGCCGGGCAGGTGTGGGGGCGGGGCTGCGCGGCCCGGGGCGGGTTGAGGAGGTGGCGGGTGCTGTGCGGGCCCCGGTAGGGCTGAGAGGGCTTAGAAACTGGGGGCGGGACCCGGGCCGTATGGGCAGGGCTAGGGGCGGGGCCGGGGCTTGAAGGGGCGCCTGGGCTGGGCGGGGGTCTTTGAGAAGAACAGTGGAGAGATTGGGAATCTTTGGAGGGAGATGAGTATGTTCAAAGACGATTGGAGCTGTGGGGACTGCTTAGGAGACTTTTGGGGACCCCAGTGACAACCTTTGGGCCTCTGGGCAGCTAGCTGGTGGAAGTCTGGGGGTCTCTGTGGGACTGTGGTGACTGAGAGACTTCTGGGAGCTGTCAGAGACTCTGATAGGGTCCTGCGGGCTCATAGGGGCAACTCAGTGGTCTCTGGGGGCAGCACAACCTCTTGGGGTCTGCTTAGGGCTGGGATAAAGGGGCTACTCCCGAAATCTGTAAAGGCCTTCCAAGGTCTTCAGAGGTTCCTCTTTAGGACCACTGACAGGTTTCTTTGTGGTTGGGGTGCATTTTGAGAGTTTGGGATCTGTGTGGAGCTTTGGGTGTTGTTCAGGGACTGGGGGGGGTCACTGTATTTTCCAGTACTTGCTTGGGGGGTCTCTGGAGACTGTCTTGGGGGTATCTCTCAGAATTTTGCTCAAAGGGGCTACTGGGGATCATCCTGGGTCAAAAATAGGCATTGCTGGGGCTTCCCATGTGAGTAGATCTCAGGAACCGTCCCCATGTGGTGTAGGCGAGGACCTGCCGTGTGCTGGGCTGGCCTTCACAGGCTCCAGGCAGGGAGGTGGGCACACTGAGCCAAGGGAGAAGACACAGGTTCAGGCGGGGATGCCGTGGAGTTGGGAAGGCTCCCCTGCAGGCTGACTGGTTCCAAACTTTCTAAAACCTGTCCTTTCTTCTCTAATATCATGGTCCCACCTCTTCCCCACCACCCCTCAGTTTTAAAAAAAAATTTTTTTTAGTCGTTGATAGACCTTTACTTATTTATTTATATGTGGTGCTGAGTACGAACCCCATGCCTCACACGTGCTAGGCAAGCGCTCAACCACTGAGCCGGAACCCCAGCCCCCCTTGGTCATCTTGACAAGCAGATCCTCACACACCCTCCTTGTCCCCTCGTCCTCTGCAGGGGAAAGACAACTTTGGCTGGGTGCTCAAGGTCCTGCCAGCCTGCCTCTGCCTGCCCACCGCTCCCCACTCCCTGTGTTCACTTGGTCCCCAAAGCAGCTTGCCTGAGCAGACCCAGGCTGCGTCCTCTGGATGGGACATTTGGGTCCTCCTTTTGCCTGGCGATACCATATGACACTCTCCCAGCCCCTGCTGGGTTTTTCTACTCAGTACGCTCAGTGGCTCCTTGTTCTGAGAGTCCAAACCACGCTCCTGAGCATGGCCCAAGAGTCCCGTACTCCTGCTCCCCACCCTAGCCCTCTCTCTGTCCCCCTCGGGCTAGTCTGTGTCCTTGTACTTGCTGAATAGCTCAGCCCGGGCTTTTGCCCCTGATGGCCCTCCCTCTGCTCTTGATTTTTTCTTATGCTGTGGTTTAAATGTCCTGTCCTCAGATGCTGTCTCTAGCCCTCCCCACCTGTCACTTTTGGCAGAATGACCGACACTCCTGAGTGCTCTTGTTGCCAGGCCAGGGGATGCCTGAGCACTTCCCAGGTGTGACTTTATAAAGCCCTCCCAGCAGCCCGCGAGGCGGTGCTGTCCCACCTTAAACACGAGCAAACCACGGCACAGCTTGGCTGTGTAGCTTGTCCAGCGTCACGCGGGTGGCAACTAGCAGGAGCAGGCAGTGTGGCTCTGAGGCTTGCCTGGGAACTCCCAGCAGCGTTGGTATTTGTAGTTCTCTCACGCGCCTGCTTACCCGTCCTCTGATCCTCGGGTTTCTCTCCCCCGCTAGACTGTAGGCCCTGAGGGACAGAGATGGAGGTCATGTCTGTCTCCCCAGAGCCAGGAGCAGGGTCCACTTCATGTCCCTGACATGGCTTGGCACAGTCGGCTGTTGAAGAGCCTTGAGGATCCCACTGATCGCTGCCTCCTGCTCTTCCTGCCCTGGGTGGTCCCTCCCAGTCCAGCGCACAGCATTTCTGAGGTTAGGGAATAAAACGACAGTGGCCTTCCACTCGGGTGTCACTTCTTGGCTCGCTTGCTCTGAGGGATGCCAGCTGCCCTGTCGTCTGGACAGGCCCATATGAGTGAGTTTCATGTGGATTGTCTCCCAGTGAAGCCCGGGGAGGCCAAAGGCCCAGACTCCACCTCAGTGGCAGCTTCCTGAGATACCCTGAGCCTGAACCACCCAATTAAGCTGCTCCCAGATTTTTCCCCAGTCTTGGGGGTTGAACCAGGCTGACTAATCCCACTTTTCAGGTGGGCAGGCCAAGGCAAAGAGAGCTGAAGCCATTTTCTTGGGAACACACAGCCAGGGAGGGGAATCTGAGCCTTTGGCCACCATGCCATGCTGGATTTAGACTCTGGTTCAGGGACACGTCAGCACCCTGCCCCGTTCTCCCGCCTCACCCCGTATTGGCTTCATAAAATCCGGTCGCGTTTATCCTTGCTGGTGTCTTCGTGCACTGAGTCCTGGGACTCAGGATGAAAAGAGCAGGACAAGAAGAGGCCCTGGGAAGGGCCCAGAGCTGGACAGTGGTCTCTTTGTCCACAGGGTGGAGGTGGCTTGGGCTGCTGCCCAACGGGGCCACCCCAGCATGTGGCTGGAACAAAGCACCGGAATCCACTGCCTGCCCATGTGGGCGTCCTTGAGAGACACCAAGCGGCAGCGCCGAGGGCAGCAGGGGACAGGCTGAGTGCACTTGTAACCACTGCTGTTCCCGTGTTCAGCCTGGGCATGACCAGCTGTGGCCTCAGTTCCTGTTTCTAGCTGTGCCACTTATAGGAAGACCCGCAGGGGTTACTTCCTCTGGCTGCTGCCTGGCTGGTGGCCCTCTGCCCGTGGCTCTGACACTTGTACCCCCCGTGGGGGTTCTCTTACAGGAAGACCTTAGGGCAGGGCCAGGCACATAGTAGGTGCTCGGTTGTAAGGTGGGGTCAGCAGCTTGGTGGCTAGAGCCTGAGGGTCTGGCTGTGGACGAGGGTCTTCCCTTGCTGACCTGTTGCATCCCAGTTGCTTCAATTGGAGGTGAAATCTGGTGTTGGAATAGTCCTTCAGGTGCATGCATTACACCTGCTGTGGACCTCACGGTTCCTGGTATTCCCGTGAGCACTTGATAATGTTTGGCGGTAAGTCTGCAGGGGAACAGAGAGACACTATACGCAAGGTTTGGCTCTGGGTTGTTAATTCCCAATATGCTGTGTTACCTCAGGCATGTTAATTCACCTTTCTGAGCCCCAGCTCAACCATCACCTGATGCATAGCTCCCTACTTTGGAGGCTGGCTATGAGAGTAGCACAGTGTTTGGCATACAGTTGGTGCTCAATAATGCAGAAGATGATCACCTTAGTTATTCTTTTAGTTGCACAGATGTGCAGTTTCTTGCTGCTGAGGTGACCCCTATTAATTCTGGCTCTCTGTGGTGGTCTTGGTGCTCACCCTGGAATTTAATGGCACAGACCCTGCTGTACCACCGTCCAGCAAGACGTGGTCCTTGTGCCCAAGCCTCCCAGGCTCTGACCACAGGGTGGATGTGGAAACAGTCAACGTTTAATGTTTTACATTTTTGTTTATTTATTGTAACATAGCAGTCTCGCCCCTCATCCATGGTTTTGCTTTAGGTGGCTTTCGTGACGACCCACATTAGTCTGAAAATATTAGTAGTTGTCTGACACTTTTAAAAGAGGCCACATTCAGGCTAGAGGTCTGGCTTAGTGGTGGAGCACTTGCCCAGCATGTGCGAGGCCCCGGGTTCCATCCCTAGCACCCCCAACCCCTCCTCAAAGAGACCATATTCACATAGCTTTTATTACCGTTGCAAGTTGTCCTGTGTTTTATTTTATTTTGAGGCACTGGGGATTGACCCAGGGCACTGACCACTGAACTGTAACCTGCAGCCTTTTTACTTTATGTAAGTGTGTTTCTTACTTTGAGACAGGGCCCTGCTAAGTTGACTGACAGATGCATTCTCTCCACAAGGCACCTTCCTGTGGGTAGGGATGCTAGACAGTGCTTTGGTACTGAGCTTGGGGCCCCCTTTCAACAACAAGATCACCAGCAAGACAACACAGAAATGAAGACAAAGGTGACACTAAGGTGACCATAAAAGGGGCACTGGCCTGAGCATGACAGCTGAAATAAGGCAGCGCTGCCTCCCTGTCCAGCCGCAGCCAGGAACATGCCCACAGCCATTCAGTCTTTCTCCCCTTAGCACGTGTTTGCAGGAGACTGGGAAATCTCTGTGAGTCTGCATTTTAAATAAGGATTTGAAAATAAGGAATCCGTGAATAATGAGGATTAATTGTATATCATAATTTGGGTTTGATGATAAGAATTTCCTCATTTTAATTCTAACAGTATTCTAAACTGAGCCATTGGGGTGGGGGTGTTGTTCAGTCATAGAGAGTATGCTTAGCATGTACAAGGCCCTGAGTTCGGTCCCCAGCATAAGAACAAACAAACAAACTGAACCACTCAGTATACTATGATCACTTTCCATTTCCTGAACAACCTTGTGTTTCCCCGGGGGTTATTGATTGCCTTTGTATTTGTTTGTTCTCTGTCTTTAGCTCCACTTCAAGTCTGAACTAACTCCACGTCAGTTGTCTCCTGTCGTCATTTATACCGTTAGATAGACTGTTAGTTTCATGGCTTCCAGGCTCTCCAGGCTAGGCTGCCTGGGCCTGCTCACAGCCATCCTCCTGTGATGAGGGTCAACATCCCTTCTTTTGTGGTTTAAATCTCTGTCCCCTGACTCCCTCATCATCCATTTCTTTGGTTTACTCCAAGGAAGCACATGTTTTGGAGCACATCTTTATTAGCTTTAA